TTTCTTCAAAAGAAACATTACCATTTGATATGACAGAAAAAACAATTTTAATATAATGAATGCATTCCAACTAAAATCGCTTTGAGCTCTTTCGTTATGATTCTCAGTTACGGTCAAAATAACAGTCACCGCACTGTGATACTGTCCTGTGATTGCAGGAAATCACAAGTTTTGCAATTGCAATATTCATCAATGCCATATCGATCTTACTGATCGTCAGAGTGGAACGGCTGCACGATGGGATCAAATGGCTATTTCTTTTTGGGTGCGGTCCATCCAACAAAGTGGGAGATGAACTGAGAAACTCGCCATTTTCAGGCCGAAAGCATGTCGAAATTATTGAGGAAATGTGGGAAAAAGGAATTCACAAATGACATTCTGAGCCACAGAAAAATTTCAACATCCGACAATATTCGGATTACATTAAATTGTAAAATCATAAATTCAAATATCAGAACATTAATTAAATTTAATTGATTTATGAGGAACAGCCAATGTATTCAACAAAACTTTTACTTTTTTCTTCACATTTCGTCACTTCAGTGTACTGTTCTCATTCTATCTAATATCTAAGAAAGATTGTTATTCATTCTAAATAAAATTATTATTTGATTTGCATTTCCAGTACCATCCACACTCTCAGTAATCAAACCCTTTTATTGACCCCTAATTAATTACTGTCAATTTGACCTTACTGTGCAACTTTTAAACTAGCTATTTCTTCTGCACCAACTTACAGTAATAATTTCTTTGGTATTTCTGTCGATTGGTATTTTTTTATGGAATTTAATGGTGCTTTCTTACAAGTTATTCTCAATTTACAGCAGGAATTCTGCATCTCATATCCGGAAAAATTCATTGGAGTGCAGGCATTCTTTTTGAATTTACTTTTTTTGCATTTTTAACTTTTGCATCTTGTACTGCATTATTTGTTCTCAGCTCTTTCACACTTTTTCCAATTAAGCCTGATAAATTACCGCCTGCTACCATTTAATGCCACATTTCTCTCTTGAAGGTAACTTTTTTGCAATTTTCGGTGCTAAAACCTTTCCAGGTTAGAATTTCAATATTATGTCTTTTGTCGACTATTCATATCGCTCTCGTGTTAATTCCCGAACATACCGTATTACTGATCAGAAGTTGTTTTCAAATGAAAATAAATTGCCATCATTGTTTTCAGCTGCCTTTCATTGGCACCTACATTGAAAATTTGAATAATTCACAAAGGCAAATTTTAAGAACACAGTTTAAAATTCGATTTTTTAATAATTCATTTATACAAAGAATCCAACTTGTTTCAAGTCTGTCAGTAATTACTAACAGTATATTAACGGTATAGTTTTGTTAACGGTATCGTGTTACCTGTAGTAACAGATATCTGCTAATAGTCGATTTTCTATCTCTTTTAGCATTTTTTAAAGCATTACTTTAAACTGCTAATTATCAATAATTGTTAATATCTTCTTCTTACACTTTATTTTCTAAATATATTTAAAAGACTTTCTCGTCTATGTAATACTTTCACATTAATCTTTTCTATAATTTTTTGCATTGATTACTAAAACTAATAACAGCTTATTATGCATGACATTTTTCTTCAAAAAAAAAAAAAATAATGGCTTCAAAGATATTGAAATTCATCCATTTTATTCAGTTTAGCGCACTTTTTTGCGTTAATATTATTTATTGATAAAATTATTTTAGAATAAATGCTTTCTATATTTCTTATGATATAAGTTCGAATTTATTTGTATTACTTTTACTAAATCTAAAAATCTGACATATTTCTAAACAAAAAGTAGCTTTGAAAGGAATGTTTTCATTGTAATAATTTCAGCAAACATTTTATTAAAAAGCACAAAAAGTTTTCCAAATTTAAAATTTGCTGTTATTATCACTGATATCATAAAAATAAACATTTTCTTTGTTCCTTTTTTCTTTAAAAAATTTTAAATAGGTCTGAAAGATTGGACAAAATAAAACGTACCATCATTAGCCTATGCAAATAAAAGCAAATTGTTAATTGCTTTTAGATTGCTTTTAGAAAAAAACTAAAAATTTGAAAAAGAATAAAATCAAGAAATTGTCAAGAATTAATTCTCATTGTTATTCTTATGAAATTGTTATAATTTTCAAAATCATTTAAGATGCTGACATTGGAATAATTCTTAATAGCAAATCTGATATAAAGAAAATTTCATTAGCAGTAAACAAAAAATATAGGATTTTGACATTTCGTTTTTACATTGATTGAAATAAATGATGCTAATTTTATCGATAAGATAAAACCACATGAATCAACGAAGCATTTTGAAATTTTAAGCCGAAGAAAATGAAAAAGAAAAATTTTGGGAAGAAAAAAAGAAAAATATTGCTACGATCTTTATTAATTATAAATTATAAATAAGAAACGAAGCTATAATTAAAAACTATCTGCTACCAATTAAATTTTTTAATTGTATTAATGTAACATTTAAAAAAAAAACACACATACATACATTGTCTATTGATTAGATAACTGTTCGGATATGATTGATTGCTCAAAATTTGTTCTGGAAAATGATATAATTAAAATTAAGTTCCATGATTAATTCACATATTATAAACTCAAAAAAATCAACTTTGCAGCAACTTGTTCTGATTTTATCACCTAATTAGTCTTTCAATCAAAGAAATATCGCATCAACATTGTGTAAACTGTAAATTACAGCATTACCTGATAATACTAAAGTGTAAAGATTAACTGTAAACTATGAAATTAGCCTGAATATAATAACTGCCCTATCGCAATATCATATAATCAATTATAAACATAAAGGGATGTTTGTAATCAGAGAGTGCAAAGTTAACCTGAAAAACCATTTTAACCGTTGAGATTTGCATATTTCATGCCGTTCCGTTTAGCCTTTAGTGTGGAATTTAGTGATTAGTGGATTTAACTTTGGCAATTTCTAGGCTGTGGTAGATTGGTTATGAGTGAGTGTCTTGGAAGTCTTCAGAATAAATGGTTTTTAGGTAGATCTCTAAGGTAATTAATTAGCAATGTACCATTTTTGAATTATATGTGTAAAATGTATCATTTTATTCAGCCCAACAGATGATTTCACACCACAATTAACAAAATTGTTGTGGTTATTATTGTTATTATTAAGTATCAAGGCATATCATTTTGTTAATATGGATACCATCATTTTTGAATAGAAGATACATATGGAAGGAAATATTATATTAATATTTGTATCATCTTTTTTTGTGTTTCTTAAACATAAAACGTTTTTTTTTCTTAAGCATAATATTATATTTTTATATTATTTGTATCGGTGAGATGTATCTTTTTTTTCCTAAGCACAAAACGATCGATGTAGTTTGGAGAAGTTCGAAAAAGGAGGGACAATTGGAGAAAGGGTGAAGTTCGTTTACGGAGACCAAGGATAATACGAGCCAAATCAACTAATTAATATCAAAGATTTTGTTCAAGGTAAATAATAAACCATATTAGCATACTAAGTCATTTTTTAAGTAATTCTCTTTTTTTTTTACCTAATACTTCTGGAAACAGCGTTTATTTTGAAATTTTGATATAACACTATTAACATTGCTTTATTCCATTTCTGTTTTTATCCTTTAGAAGATGTCCCTTCGAAGACGTGCAAGGAAAGTGGAAATTTCAATGCCAACTAATTTTGAGCATCGTTATCATGCAGGATTTAATCCGGTTACTGGCCAATATCATGGCTTACCAAAGGTTTCTGAAGTTGTATTTCTGTGGATTCTTCGAAAATTTCCAAAATATTGAATATTATAATTTTTTCAGCATATTTATTTTACAATTTTTGTTTCTACACCTTTGGTATATTTTTGCACGATATTGTGCATAAACAAAATTAAATGTTTATAGTTTTATTGGATGATTCAGTTGTTTAAAAATGATTATGTACAAAAGCATGTGGTTTTATCAGTACCAATACAGTTACCATATTATCATAAGTTAAAGAAATATGTAATAAAAAAGGGTTCCTATTTTATAGTGAAAAGCACTCGTGTCTTTTTTTCTGGCATATGCTTTTGTAATCTTTAATATTTTTTAGCAGTGGCAAGCTATAATTGGTATAACTCCGAATAGACGCGGTCGCCCACGACCGATGGTTGATCCCAGTTGTATTACACCGACGGAAATAGCAGAAATTAAGACAGTTGTTCGTGGAGATGTGCCACAACCGTATCGGAAGTATTAATTTTTTACTAGAATTTAAAGTTTGAAATATTTCATGGAGAAAATCAAAGTGGAAGTTAAAGAAGCTGAGGTTTTAAAGAAAAAAATTGATTTGGGAGATTTAATTAATCTCATTAATGAGTAAATTAGATCAAAATTTCATGGAATTAGGTCTTTTCTCGATTATATATCAAACATTTTTCTGTTTAATATTTAGATTATATATATATGGTAATAATACTAGTAACATACTAGCGTGGCTTTGATAGAATGATAGAATGCATGATTTCGAACGTCTTCTCTATTCAATTAATTACAGTTGTTATAATCCATGTTATGCAGTGATTGTATATCAGAGAAATTAGTTTCAGTGGTGTCCCAGTGAGTAATAAATTACGAAACGATCATATTGAAATGCAAGGTGGTGTACAGGATGATTTTACACGAATGGTACGCATTTCAGAGCCATGGACACGCTTTCCTCAGTCGTATGTTTTTTAGATTGATTTAAAATTAAGTGAACTTAATTTTTCATGAAACTGTCAATTGCTTATAAAATTTCATAGAGTGTAGCTATCCAAATTATCCCAATTTCTAAATGCATTAATGTATATTCATTTTTCAATTCATTCAGATCATCATCTACATCTTTCTTTGGTATGCAACCAAAGCGTCACGTCCAACAACATTCGTCTCTAAAATTTCAAAAACTCAGTCCAGAAGAAATGAACTTGCCGCGAACCTCAACATACCAAAATAGTAAGGATTTGCAGCAAAAGCTTTAAGACTGAAATATTATTAGTGAAAGAAAAAGGACAAACGGTATATGTAATGGTACAAACACTTTCAGAGAGATATATTTTCGCTATATTTGTTTTGACTCTTTTAACGCTCTTCTCTACAGTTCTTTATGTCATTTTTTTCATTAAAGACATACCACAGCCAGTGCATTGGCAACAGAATTCCTCTTATCTTACACAATGCGATTTAGCAAATGCTGTTGAAGTGTATCCGGAAAGTTACAATTTATTGCAACACTCGAATTTTCTCCGCAGTAATGGAGTGCGTTTTAATACAAGCTTATTTTTTATAATTTCTGAGCAATTCCTGAAATCACTATGAACAGGACCATAGTAATAACTTAATTATCTCAACATGGACATTAATCATAATTCTCCAAAGATCACTTGGTTTGGATTTCGCAATAACTTCGATGTTCATATATTAAAGGGAGTAATTTTTAAGAAGTAATTTCTTTTTATTCACTGTTTCATACGCTTTTTATATTTTCTTATTATTCCAAGTTTTTATATTAAAATTGCAGTAAGATACATGAATATTACTGTTGTATTTTTTTTGAATGCGGAATTTCAGTCTTTGAAATTTTTAGTTACAAGTCGAAATGAATCCCTTGCCAACGGTATTACCACATAATGAAGCATCAGCATATAGACCCAATAATTCTGTTGTGCATAACACTGTACGGCAGAAGCGAGAAGATTCACATAATCGATTATCAAATGAGGAGGTTTTTGAAATTCATAGTCTACTTTTTTTCACTAATCAAGATTTTTTTGACTTCTTGAAAATGACGTCGCTTCTATTAACCAATTATATAGTATCTTTCATTTCTTAAAAATCCTGCACAGCAATTTTTTATTTTTTCTGATTCGTGGATAGCAGTTTGGAATAGAAGGAGTTAGATAATGGTGTCGGAAACCCGAAACTAAAATTAAATTATTTATATTTT